GGCAAGCAAATTCGCCGTCGTTGTTTCGTCCATGAATGATGCAGTGTCTCAACTGGCATACCAAAAAATTGGTGTGGAGTGAAAAGGCTTCAAACCAAATACAAACCCATGCTTTTGGTCAACGCCAAAATATTGGTAAAGCAAGTGTGGGCTACCATCCAAACAGCTCGACTAAACTTAGCATTGAATTTATATCTTCAAACAGTGCAAGTGACGACTCATTGTCTCGTGATTTCGATTGTACCGTGTTCAAAAAAATGTCTCGCTGAGCACTTCTGTTTTGCATGTCTCGTAGGATAAGCTTTTTAGGAACGACTAATTTCTGATATGTTGAAGAAAATAATAAAATACGCACGACGAAGCTTGAACCCGGACACGAGGAGTGAAACACGTGAAAAAGAACAGACTTCAGGTTCGATTCTCTATTTTTGTACTACAAAGAACAGACTTCAGGTTCATTTTCTGAAATTAGGGAATGTGCATAGACCTCTATTTTTAGAGTAGTACTCCCTCCGGTCCTTTTTACTCTGCATATTATGTTTATCTGAAGTCAATCTCATCCAACTTTGATCAAGTTTATATAAAAAATTATAGACATTCACATAACAACACCAATATCATTAGATTCATCTTGGAATATATTTTCATATTATATTTATTAAATATTATAGATGCTAATAATTTTTAATAAAAATTTGGTCAAACTTAGCAAAGTTTGACTTTCGGCAAAACCAATGTGCAGAGTAAAAAGGACCGGAGGGAGTACTAGTAATGTTTTGGGCACCGAGGTACGCACGCATGCATCCCGGAAAGGTCAACGAGTAGTGAACATCAAGAGCCCTGGTCAACGCATCGGTAGGCATGCCAGCCCGTCTCGAGCCCGCACAGGACTGCAGGGACCAAGGCGTGTAATTAAGCCCTGATTAATTCCCGTGAAAAACTGGCATCATTATTGCCCTGGTTGTTCAACTCCCACCATGCTGCCAACCAAGGCGACAGATTTTCTCTTTTATTTTATTTTCAACCAAAACGAGAGGTTTTCTTTTTTACCCTTTTCTATGTTTTCGGGCAATTGAGAGATCTTTATTCAAACAAAGGTGTTTATTTAGGACAGTAGAGCTGAGTCTAATCCACGTCCTCTCACGCATCCATGCTTCTTGACACCAGATTTTGTGGCCTGATTGTTGTTGGCCGTCTTATACGCATCCTCTCGCGCGTGGGGTCTACAGCGCCACAACTTGTCCGAACGCGGGCGCCGCGTGTGGAGCAGCTCGATGCCCATTCTCTGTTCGACGGTATGTCTCAACCAGGCGAGCGGGTGTACAACGACACAGACGAGCAGATGTTTGAGATGATCCATGACGAAGACGGAGGATGGGTAGGTGGATGACTCGGAGTTCACGTAGTCGGGCATGGAGTCAGACATGTACACCCAGCAGCAAGATTTGTACACCGGCCAGCAGGAGCCGGAGGAGGATGGCGACGACGACCTTGATCTAGATGAATTTGTTGCCGATCCAAAGAAGAAGGCCAGAGGAGAAAGCTTCAACATGAGGGAGTGCGAGTTGTGCGATTCATGGTTGGCCACTAGCATCTATCCGATCCGATCCGATCCATGGTGGCATGGAGCAGAAGGGCGCAATATTTTAGGCCAACATTCATACTTGTTTCGATGAGCACAAATATTTTGAGCCCTACGCGGTAAAGTCGTTTAACCATCGATGATACATTATCCAAAAGGTCGGGTCCAAGTATTGCGGCAATTTGAAGCAACTAATCGGTCGGTGGTGTGCAAATCACCGAGCAAGTACGTTGTTATGTGTGTTGGTCATTTGGCCAGATATGCAACTTGGTGACAATGTTTGTCTTTGTAGCATTCTCGTGCGTGCAACTTGTTTTTGAAGGTCGACAAGAATAACTTCGTCCTCGTGCATTGTTGCTTGAAGTTGACTGGGCAGCCCAAGTGGAATTTATTCATTACCAACATCGTGAAGACCGCATGCGTCGGCATCGAGGAAGAAGCGGGTGATCCAACCGACCCAACAAAAGAGCCGCCCAAAAAGATTAGAAGAGGGTTTCTGGAAAGAAGTGGGAGGAGGAGAAGGAGAAGAGAGAAGGGGTGGTGGATAAAGATGACAGAGAGTTTCAAGGATATCTTGGCGAAGGAGGAGGCATGCACTGGGGGCATGTGTTAAGCGCTCCGACATCTAGGAGGAAAAAAGACCAAGAGGTTTAATATGTTGATGGCGATGACCGAGAAGAAACTCAAACTTGAAAAGAAGAACACCATGCTCGAAGAGAAGAAGGTTGAGATCCCGGCCGCATCAGAGGACACGAAGATGGTGGCCTCAAAGATGAAGGAGTTGGATGACGATGCAAGGATAATCGTGCAAGTCGTCCATGTTTGGATGTTGAAGCGCATGACGGGCTATCTGGAGGCGGCCGAGAACGAGGCGGATGGTGAGGAGGAGCCGACCACTAAGTGAGCGTGGAGGCTCGGATAGCCGATACAACAGGGCCAAAAATCCATTTTCACGGAATGTCAGTCTGAGATACTTTTGTGACCGGGCATGTAAAAACTATGCATACTTGTCTCCTTTAAATTGTGATCGGACGCTGTGCATTTGAATTTCAAATTGCTCATACCTCGGCTGACATTTAGGAGATGTGGTTAGATGGACGACTCCCGCATCACTAGTCCGGACCTGTTCATGAACGAATACAGTGTTTGATTTGGGGTGAGCTTTGAAGATGCCTTAACTACCCTATGTTTCAAATATAAAATGTTTTGGTCGATTTTATACTATCATAAAAGATCTCACACTTTCCATTTGCATGGAACACAAAAGAATTTCTACAAATACATGGACTTTTTTTACTAGAGAAGATTCCTACAAGAAAGATCATGACCATGCCCATGACCATGAGGTCTTGAGGAGTACGTTGTATGAGCATTGTCCCCAAGCCGGGCACGTTTAAGGCTCTAGTCGAAGTCAGGCATGTTTCCATCAAACGTACCCTGATACTATTCCCTCTGTTAGCTAATATAAAAGCGTTTAGATCACTATTTTAGTATTCTAGACACTTTTATATTAGTTTACGAAGGGAGTATTCTAGACACTCATTATTCCCTCTGTAAACTAATATAAAAGCGTTTAGATCACTATTTTAGTATTCTAGACACTCTTATTTAGTTTACGGAGGGAGTATTCTAGACACTCTTCTATAGCTTCCCTGAGCAAGTAGATGCACCAGTTCAAGAACCAAAGTGATTTACATAGATTAGAGCTCCCGTATCTTGAAGAAAGAACTACATAAATGGCAGCAACGAACTTAATCATCCCACCCTTTGCAACCGTAGCTATCTTCTTCGACCACATTACATATTTTCATCTGATGGCAAAAGATTATGAGCTGAGCATCTGGGTACCAATTCAGTACAGTTATATATTGCAGGCAGGCCCTCTGAACCTAACTTAACTCCATCTTTCAAGGCGAGGCCTAGATTAGCTTATATTGGAGGCTCATTATAGAGGAGGGCTGTAGCTCTGGATAAATTAGATTGAACCCCTCTTTCGATTTTCATCTCCAAATAGTCCTTGTCTATGCATGGTGCCTCTCCCACCACCAGCTTTGGCTCCCTGGGAAGGCATCACCTGGAATGAAAATATGATGGTCAATGAGGTTTATCCGTGGTATGGGTTGTGTAACAAGCTTACCCATGTAGTATGAAGTTGCGGACGTATGAGAACCAACATAAACAAACATAGAAAACAAACACAAAACATATGATTTGGAGCTTTACTTCTAAGATTATTTATCGAAGTAAGAGGTGAGCAAGCCCTAAATGTATGCCTAAAATGTGTTAGTGGACCCCATGAACCAATAAAGCCTAACAAGATGGCAACGGGTACCTGTTACCCGATCCCCGGCGGGTAATTGCTCAATTAAGGAACGAGTTTGAGCCACGGGTAAGTAAATGGCAAAATTCCTTCCCCACTGGGTAACACAGGTACATGTACCTTTGTCCATTAGTAATTATCCATACCTGTTACCCACGGGTACCCAGTAGTGGAGGCTTGACATGTGAACCCCGTCTTTTGTTGCTCAGTTTTGAGCTTTATCATTGTCACTTGTCTTGCAATGAACTATGCCATCTAGAATTACTCTTGAGAGTTGTGAGATGTGAGATGTGAGAGTTTTGATACTTGATCGTTTGAACCTTGCTACTTGTTATGATAATGATGCGATGCTTAAATTATGCTAGTATTAAATTGATGGATGTTTAGTGTTATGATGTGATGGCATGCACTTGTTGTGCAATTATTCTATTGAATTAATGGATAATAGTGTTACGATCTGATGGTATACACTTGTGCTGTGCAATTATTCTATCAAATTGATTGTCATAAGTGTTATGATGTGATGGTATGCAATTGTGCTATGCAACTATGCTATTGAACTGCAGGATGTTATGATTTTGGATAATAAGTTGCTGGTTTGATATGTGTGAATTGCTCCTGGAGGTTGGCATCAGAAAGGGCGGGTATACCTGTGGGCAAGAATTATCTGTCGGCGACGAGTATGAGTGAAATTCTTCCCCGCGGTGCGTATGGGGTAATGGGCAAGCCTGTGCTTTCACGGGCATGAAAAGAAGAGAGGCTTTAGTGCTTTACCCGGTTGGGTAATTACCCATTGCCATCTTGAGCCCTTAATGGGCATGCTCAGAAAGAACCAGATTGACCATGTGCAAATGTAGGACTAAAAGGTGTTAGTGGACCTCAAGAGCCAACCAAGAGTCAGGGACTAGTAGGTTGGTACCCAGCCTCTTGATGGCACCATCGTACCTCAGTGACAGAAGATGTACTCTGATGCAACTACAGTAGCACTATCTTCTAGTTATAACGATACCACTGCAACACTGGAAACCACCACCTATCGGCTACCAGATAACCATTGCACAAACAGGTTAAGATGAGCAAGTTTTAAGCTTACCAGCCATGCATTCTGCAGCCCTAGTCACGCTACAGCTGTTTCTGCTGCTGCTCTCCTTGGCCTCTCCTGCCCGCTCATGCACCGAGCAAGAGGAGCACTCCCTCCTCCAATTCCTCACCGGGTTATCCCAAGATGGCGGCCTCACCGTGTCGTGGAGAAACGGCACGGACTGCTGCGAATGGGAAGGCATAACCTGCGACAGGGAGGGGGGCGTCACCGCAGTCTCCCTGGCATCTAGAGGGATTGAAGGTCGCATCTCGCCGCACCTTGCCGGTCTCACCGGCCTGCTGCGTGTCAACCTTTCACACAACTCGTTCTCCGGTGGCCTTCCACCGGAGCTCATGTATTCCAGAAGCATCATCGTCCTCGACGTCAGCTTCAGCAGGCTTAGTGGGGTGTTGCACGAGCCGCCATCTTCGGTTACCTACGCCCGGCCTCTGCAGGTACTGAACATCTCGAGCAACCAATTCGGTGCAGAATTTCCATCACACACATGGAAGGTCATGCAGAATTTGGTCGTGCTTAACGTCAGCAACAACAGCTTCACCGGGCACATACCACTTTCTCTTTGCCTCTCGCCATCATTGGCCATGCTTGATCTTTGTTACAACCAATTGAGCGGCAGTATTCCTGCTGCACTTGGCGCTTGCTCCAAGCTCAAAGTGTTCAAGGTTGGGCACAACAACCTAAGTGGGACTCTCCCTGCTGAGCTCTTCCATGCCACTTCCCTGGAGCATCTCTCCTTCCCCAACAATGGATTACAAGGAGAACTTGATGGAGCAAGCATAGTAAAACTCAGTAATCTGGTTACTCTCGACCTCAGGGAGAACAAATTCAGTGGGAAGATCCCACGCTCCATAGGTCAGTTGAAGAGGCTACAGGAGCTCTATTTGGGTAACAATAACATGTCTGGGGAGGTGCCATCAACTCTGAGTAACTGCACACGTCTCATGATCATCGATCTGAAGATCAACAACTTCAGTGGAGAACTAGGCAGGGTCAACTTCTCCACTCTACAGAACCTGACACATTTAGATGTTTTGAGAAATAACTTCAGCGGCATAGTGCCAGAAAGCATATACTCATGCAGAAATTTGATTGCACTGCGGGTGTCGTTGAACCATTTCCATGGTGAGATCTCACCAAGAATAGGGAATCTGCACCTATCCTTCCTATCACTTGCTAGAAACCCTTTTACAAATATCACAAAAGCTTTTCATGTCTTCAATGGCTTCAGGAACATCACCACTCTGATTATTGCCGAGAACTTTGTGAATGAGATGATGCCACAAGATGAGACCCTGGATGGTTTTCGAAATCTTCAATACATCCACATGGCCGACAGCGCGTTAACCGGACACTTGCCAGTTTGGTTATCAAAGCTTAGAAACTTGAAGGTACTAAAGTTATCCAACAATCGACTCACCGGACCAATGCCAGGCTGGATCAACTCCTTAAATAGCCTCTTCTATCTAGATGTATCAAACAACAGTTTTACTGGGCAAATCCCAATCGCCTTGATGGAGATCCCAATGCTTAAAGATAATACAGCAGCTTATTTGGATCCTGGCCACGTTGAGCTGCCTCTTTTTTGGAGGAATATATCACGCCAATACCATTTTCTTACAGCTTTCCCTACACTCTTGAATCTGAGCATCAACAATTTCACAGGCGTGATTCCATCGGAGATTGGCCAACTGAAAGTGCTTTCTGAACTCGACTTCAGCTCAAACAAATTATATGGACTGGTTCCGCTGTCGATCTGCAATCTCACGAAGCTGGAGGTGCTAGACTTGTCTAATAACCATCTGACGGGTGTAATCCCTGCAGCACTGGAGAGACTTCACTTCCTTTCTGCATTCAACATTTCGAACAATGATTTAGAAGGGTCTGTACCAGCAGGAGGCCAGTTGAGCACTTTTCCAGATTCCAGTTTTGATGGGAACCCAAAGCTGTGTGGCACTACGCTTATTCATCAGTGTAGTTCAGTCAGAGCAGATCCTATCTACATTATCTCTGCAAAACAGCCCAGCGTCAAGGTCATATTTTTTATTGGCTTTGGTTTGTTCTTTGGAGTAGGCGTGCTATATGACCAGCTAGTGTTATATAGGTATTTCGGCTCAGCCCATTTCAATTGTAATTTGTTCTAATATTCAATGGATAGAGGTCAATCAAGCAATAAATAGCCATGAATTTTAGTTTTTTTGCGTGTTTGAATCCACCCGAGTTGGATCTTATTTTATATTAGTTGAGCCTGCAACAGTTTATGTTGTTCGCTTCCTGAATGATAGGTAGTAGTAATTCAATGATTTTCAGATTGGAAGTCGTGGTTGTGAGCAATTCAAGTGGGAAGTGTTCAGGGTAATGTAATTTTATTTCAATCAGGGTTGGACCTAGCGTAAACATAAAACTGGTCATTAGTTGACCAGACAGCTAAAACTTTACAGGATGTTACACATATTTGGTCCACAGATGAAACAACTTCATGTAAGTATTTCTTTTCTTTTCTTTTTTGCAACACTACTTCATGCAAATATGTTAGCAACCCTATTGCGGAAACATCTTCAGAGATGCATATATCATGCCAGCCAAGTTCATGCTAGACAACAATTAAATGAATACAGTAACTGTTAATAACGGGGTCAGATCACCCTACATTTCATACAGAGCTCAATCTACAGATCCAGATCACCATAGACAGCAGTAACAAGTAATCAACGAACGGCACATCAATTACCAATTGCGCCTTGCCACCCTATAGTCCTATACTGACAGAATACAAGCGACTGCTACATCCACCGAAAACCTGTAAGCAAGAAACAGACAAAATACCTCCAGAGGGCATACCACCAGATCATTCACCCTCCGCCGGACCGCCGGCGATCCAGCATCCCGCGCCTGATTTTCGATTCCACCGAGGGCCCGGAGATTCGCTAGGGCTCGCGAAATCGCCGTGTCGCGCGGGGCGGGAGACGAACGCGAGAAATGATATCGCGCATGCGCGGGCTCTCTCTCTCTTTTGCGTGCTCTGGATGTGCGCCCGATAGCTTGAACGGCGAGAGGGCGCTGTGGCCACCGGACTGGAGGGAGGCGGCGAGGGGCGCCGGCCGGCAGCGGAGCAGCTCGACCAACCGGAATCTGTCGTATGGGCTGAAGCTGAAAGGGAGCGCCTACAACTTGGGCTTTGCTTGATCTATTTTCTTTTTAGGGAACGGGCTTTGTTTGATCTAAATCGGAGTCTTCTTGACTGGGCCGGCCCACTAGCACGCAGTAGCCAACCACGCATTTTGCTCAACAAAAAAGGCATTTTCTGTCCCTTCCCTAAAAAAAGGGATTTTCTGTTCTTCAAAAGAGAACGTAGTCCTAGCCAGTGAGAGGGGCTTCCAACAAACTGTGATTGATACGGATGGTCAAGAAGTAGCAGTTGTGTGGAACCGAGGAGATGTTGGAGGGCATATCTTCGGGGAGATGCGCACCTATCTCCCGAACTTTTCAAGGGTTTGAGTTGCGATGGACTAGCCGGGAAGCAAGCGGAGCTGCCCATATATGTGCAAAAGAAGCTTTATCTTTAGGGATCCTTCATGTCTCTTTTCTTGTAAACCATGTTTTCCCGATTGACACTCTGCAAACAAATTTGTTCCGCCAAAATGAATAAATAGCCTTGATGGCGGTTCTTGAAAAAAAAACCCGGATATTTTAGCAAACATTTTCTTTTTCTCAAAAAAAAAGAGAACATTTTTTGAAAACAAAAACATCAATTCTTTTTGTTACTTAAGACCATAAATGTCTCAGGGGCAGCCAATGGCCCAATCTACACAAGGCGGTTTTGCAACAGTTCAACGGGTTTCAATTGCAAAAAGCACGAAGGTAATAGCAAGAGTGGTGGGTCATTAAGTGTGTCGCTAGCTCGGCCCTGCTCCGCACAAGCAACCTCTGCGATTCCTAGAGTACTTCCGTTCCTAGTTTCTTGTGTTTGTTCTTTCTTCTTTGTCTATTCTCTTGATGTTTCTAGCTTGCTTTATTTCAGCCGGCTACTGCGGCTATAGAACCGTTGTCACAAGACTTCCCTTTTCATAACTCGTGTTTTCGGCCAGCCAGGACTCGAGATTCCACCCTATATATGCCTCGGAATCATGTGCAAACCCATTGTGTGCAACAAAGATGATGTGACGGTGATGTTCATGGACACCTGTCATGGAGGCATGTGTGACGAGAACCACATCCTCCTCCCACTAAGTAGCATGCATTCTCATTCATGGCCTAGTTGGGCAGGGGAGTTTGTGTTGAGGGCAGCTCCCACGGTCGAAATCACACATGAGTAAGTCCACCTGGCACTCCCTTTTGAAATTTATGTGTATTATACACTAACAAAGACATGATTCCAGAGTCAACTCCTCATACTCCTCCCCAGTGTATGAGCTACATGCAACTTGCCCGGGGCCCTATCTAGTCGTGGTGTAAATCATGTTGTACGTTTCAGGGTACGCAAATACGACATGCTTACCGTGCTCTTTCAGGATGAACTTAGCAACGATTGGGAAGAGTCCGAGGTTCATCAGAAAGACGACGCCTAGAAAGCCCCTTGGAAGATGGAAGCGCCAATTTCAATCAGAGTGCTATGTTATTATGTGGCATGGCCGTCATCCCTTCTGGAATATTACAATTGAAGATGTCATCCCAGTCTACAAGCAGACATACTACCTGGGTGAGTCGATCTAATCTTGTTATTAGTGAATAAATCCTTCTTGAGACAGCATGTAACATGCACTATGTTAGCATGTCTCTAGTTTCGGGCTCATTTGTCGTGGACAGAGTAGTGGCCCTTGTAGCGTTTCTTTCTCATGCCAGTGTTTCACTATGTGGTGTGGCACAGTTGGCTTTGGCCCGGCTGTGGCGGGAAGCACAGAAGGGACGACGTACGGTGGGAGCTTGGAAGAGGCCAACAGTGGCGACGGGAGGTGAAGGAACGGCGCGGCTCAGGCTGAAATTTCCCGCTTGGTTCGCCGTCAGCAATCCGGATCGAATGGGTATCTCGAGTGGGAAGACCCCCCTCTTTTGGTTATTTGCTCGCAAAATATTGGTACCCATGCAGGATGCACTCACAGGCATGCTGCTGGAGGTGTGTTTTGGGTCAAAAGAAAGATGCATATTCGGTTATTGGGTATTCTATCAAAGTATGTTTACGATGTTGCTGTTTTTTTTAACACGGTTATGATGAATTTTAAAACGAGTTGAAAAAATGGTTTTGATGATTTTTTGTGTGTGAGTGGTTCCGATGTTGGAGATGTGTTGCAGAAATTTCTCTCGTGGCCGTGCGTTCACAACCACAGTGCACGGTCCCGGCGATCACAAATGATGGCTTGGCGTGGCGGTCGGGCCGGGGAGGAGGACCGGATCGCTGCGTCAACCACACGCCCAGATTTTCAAGTCTCCACTGCCGTCAACCTGACAACATCCCCACGGCTAGGATTTGGTCGGTCGCCAGACAGTAACCAGTCGGAGCACATCACTGATAGATATTCTACACGTTTGTAGTTAAAAGTCGTATATCATCCTGGACTCCTCTTTCTATAGCTAGCTTAAAGTATCTGGACTAAGCGAATCAATCTGGACTGGCCGCCTCTAGTCAATGCTTTGCCAAAATGTATATGAAAATGAAGCACTACAGTTAAATTGTGCAATTTTATGGAACGTCCCCTGTGGCCCGTACCAAAAAGAGGATTGTGGCCACATATGCTACAGTTGCATGCCTTTTTTCCTTCTACTTCCTCCCTCCGTTCCAAATTACTCGTCATGGTTTTAGTTTGAGGGAGTAATTTTCAGTCACTCTTGTCTGTACCGTTGGATCAACATCCAACGGCTTTCTTCCTCCCGGCATACTATTCTTCTTCCTTACCGTGCCGTTAGGATTTCGTCGAACCGCCTGCTCCCACCACCTGCGGCTGATTATGGTACCGCGCCCAACCCCTTCTCAACTCGCCACCTCCGCCTATCTTCCGCTACCCTGCCATCCCTCTACCCCAACCCCAACTCTTCTTCTCGACACCCAGCACACGTATAACTCCCCTCGACCGGGGTCACCGCTGCCGCATCGTCACCAGCTCCGGGTTGTTCCCAACTGAGGCCTCGCCGGTGACCCCACTTCTCGCTGCCGCTCGTCACGGTGCCCCCATCTCCACCCCGGGGCTTCTTGCAAATTGATTGATGCATAACAAATTCTCAGGCAATTGAGAAATATAGTAAAACTGAAAAGAGTTACGTGCTGACGGCCATCAGGAAATTGCACTGATACTGACCGCTTGGCTAGCTACTTTACTTGTCCTTTGGTGGAACAGATGTGCATGCTACAATGGTTCCTAGAGCCAACAACGACTTGACTAATTGACTCGGCAATTCGTGTCACCATCAGAATACTCGGGAGTACTACTAACGTTTTCGTGGACCGTGTCTCCTACGCCCGCCCTGCTGCATATAAACAGCTCTGAATCCGTTAACCCCTCGCACACATCAGACGCGAGTTCACTTAGCGCGCACCGGCGACCAGAGAGCACGAAAGCGAGCTGCGGGCGCCGATTGGTCTAGCTCCATGGCGGCACGTCACCGGCGCCACCGCGTCGAGGCACCGAAGCCAGCATGGCTCGTCACGATCAAGGCCACGCCGCCGGTGCCGGCGAGGGGCGACGCTGCCAAGAGGCTCGTCGCGCCCACTCGCTCGCCGATCCTGCTGTCGCCGTCGGTGTGGCAGAAGGCGCAGCTCGACAAGAAGGGCATGGCCGTCGGCGACCGTGGCGACACCGGGGTTGCGCCAGCGCCGGCATCGCCGAGGATCGGCTGCATGGGGCAGGTCAAGGGCGCACGGAGATGCCCGAGAGCGCGCTGCCCGGCCTCCTCGAGGGGACCGGCGGCGTCGGGCCTCCCATGCGGCAGCCTGGCGGGGCTACTGATGGGGCTGTTCCGGCGGCGGTCGACGGGGAGGAAGTCGCGCGCATACTCCAAGGTCAGGGACGTGGCGAGTGACTCGTCGTCGTCAGGGAGCGCACGGCGTGGTGCCCGTGCGCCACGCCCGCTTGAGCTCGACCCGCCGTTGCCGGTGCCGGCGCCGGTGGTGAGACGGCCGGCCGTGGAAGAGAACGCGCCCAGCCTTTGGGGGCGGCGGCGCGGCGGCGCAAAGGTCCTAGAGGGTCTCCAGATAACGTCGTAGGATCCATCCTGGTAGAGCAGAGTTGAGTCCTCACACTACGTTAAGTACAAGATCACTAGTACAATCTACTGTATTAGTATGTG